GGCGGTATTGCCGATCAGAGTACGGTATTTAGTATCGTACTCGGCCTCCGATACGATACCGGATACCCCGTTGTTGCAGTATCCGGACTGATTGGTAAGTCATCTATCCCCTTTCCAATCCAAATCTCCCTGCTTTGGATCATTCAAAGCCGATTTGGGCTTTTAATTCACCGGATTTTGGCTTCAATACGATGCCGTACCGTATTGTCAGCAAATTTGATGATACGGTATCGTACCGTATCGCTCTGTTTTGTGCGATACGGTACCCCACATACCTTGGAATGGTATCGTTAGAGACAATACGGTTCTGGGTATCGTATCCGGAGCCGTATACAATACCCAAAAGTCAAATATGTGGTATCGTGCAGCCGGCTACGGTACTGGTATCGCCGATACGATACCGGTACCGTATCTGTGGCGGCCTTGCCCTAAGCTATACATTGGTGGCATCCCTTGGAGCTTACTGAACCAGGGAATGCCGCTCAGGATCAGCTGAGCAGATGGATCAGCCCTTCCTCAGACTTCTTTGCTCAGGAATAAATGCTGAGGAAGGCTTAGTTTGTCTGCTCAGTTCCTGATGATCACGTAATCAGCTGACAAACAGAAAGAAAAGGGAAACAAATGGGAAACAAATGGGAAACAAATTGGAAACAAATGGGAACAAAACAGGAAAATTTCAACGCTCACATAGTTGTGAGCATCAATTTTTGCCCCTGTGATTGGGGCCCGGATTTCCTATCATAACCCATAATTCCAGTTAACTATCAAATAACATCTACAATCTCAAGACGTCTTGATTCAAAGCAAGAATCAATTAGGAAAACACTCAAGGGGTGCTTTGGCGAGCCACTAGCTGTTCCTCAGCATTGATGAGCTAGTTTCAAGTAGCCAAAGTGTCTTCAAAACTGGTGTTTGGCAATGGTCAAACAGATGAGAGGAGGACATTGAGCGGGCTAAAAACCAAATGAGGCATGTGTAAACCCATGCTGGAAAGCCCCGATAGAGCTCCAAAAGAACTTATTTTTGTGACTACACTTTGTAGGGGCATTCCAGGGTCCTAGCAGACCTGTATGTACAGCCGTTTCAAGAAAGGTTGACAACTTTTTTTGGAGAAAGTTGTCTCTGCAGCGGGTAAAACCACAGACAAAACTTGATTTACAGGTTTATTCTTTTCTGTATTCTTCCAATTAGCGGAGAGACAAAATTGGGTGAGGGACAAAACAGGACAAAACCCGGGTTTTGCACAGTTTTGCACATTGGCAAGATTTTCAAAAAAAAACAATCTTTGTTGAAACAGCTGTACATGATAAACACATATTCACTTATCCTACTGCACATATGTAGTGCGAGAATTATGGCTCAGGTATGCAATGATAGACCCTTTTATGACAAATTATACTTCTAATCATTTTCCCCTTCCCATTTGGGGAAGTTAAAATTTGATTGACTTGATGAGATTCTTAAATAAAAACTTTGTGGCCCATAAAATCATACAAAAAAAAGGTACAATCTCAAATCTGATTCTACATTTGTCCTACACAAAGTTCTCCTGGAACTTTTCCACAAAGGTTCCAGAATGATTTTCCACGAAGCCAGAAAAGAAAATTTTGGCTGTGTTCTGGCTTCGTGGACTTGTGAAAAAAAAACTACAGCTACTAAATATATAAAAGGCATAATCGGCGCCTGGCCTCCTAGGGCTCACCCCCAACGCAGAGCACGCCTTTCCCACCGCCTTGAACTGAATAATTAGAGTTTCACGGCTGACTTCGCTGTATCACTGTTGTACTTATTTCAATAAGGTTTCACTGTATTTGTACATCCAGTGTCGATCGTGTCTTTACAGCTACCACGCCTTCAAGCTGTGGTTCTTTCATCCAAAGCCTCTAACATCTTTATTGCACTTTCTAGTTCTTCCTCCGTATATGCTTTAAAGTATCTCAAATACGTCAATGACTTCCATCGCCCTTGCCTCGCTATCACTGCGACTGGTGTTCCTAAGTTATACCGTAGGGACGCCCCCCCTACCCTGAACGAATGCCCTGACCAAGTGCTGACGCCTGATTTCCCCCACACCGTTTCTGCTACCTTTACGAATCTGCTTTTGCTCAACGGGGTAACTCCACCTGGACCGGAAAACGAGAACAGGAATTCGTCTTTATCCGCCGCTGCGTTGTTCAACAGTATCCGCTCGATTGCCGCCACGGGGTCCAGCACGTTGAACTGTTGCTGTAAATGGATGGTTTGAACTTCCCCTGCTTTGGCTGTCTTTGCTTTCCGTAAGTGTAGCTTGACGAATCTGACTCCTTTCTTTTCACCGAATTCCACTTGATTTCGTAAGATAGCACCGTCCTGTTTTCTCGTACGCAACAGCTCTCCTAACCTTGTCATCCCCCAGAAAGCGACCAATGCCACTGAGCCTACCAGTATTTCTTCGTTTGACTTTCCGTATGTCTCCTTGAATAGTTTGAATAGCTGATGAATCAGTACTGGTTTCTTCTGCGTCACTAAGTCTTTTTCTTCCTCGTTTCTCTTGGTTGCATTCAGCAGCAAGGATATCACCTCTTTATCAGCAGTCGGTCTTGAGGTGTGCCGCACTATGTGCCACGCTCTTATTCCGTCCAAGTACTTTTTAATTGTCACCGCTGCGATCACTTTCTTAGGTCCGTCAACTTTCTCTACTTTTGATTCGCCCGCCCAAGCTATGAATTCATATATGTCTTCGTTGGTTATAGGCTGATCCTCCACAAATACGCCACTTGTCTTTTCTTTGAACTCGATGAACTTCGACATGCCGCTTGAGTATCCTCCCAGGGTTCCTGTTGCCCAACCGCTTGATGTGGCGTGTTTTCCTGCGCCTGTCGCCTTCTCTTTTGCTGTCTCGAAATGTTTCGGGAGCTGTGTTTTCACCGCAAGTCTATTCCTTTGTTCCTTAAGCGGCATCTTACTGACAGTGTTTGTGTTAGACAGAGTGGTGAACGAATTATTGAAGTTTTATTGTGGTTTGCGATGTGTGGATCAATATGAGTGGGAATGGTTCTCGGTGGTATGGAAGGGATGGTTCTCAGTGATATGGGAGGACTGGTTCTCAGGTTATGCATTTGACTCATTCTTGAATTACGAATGGAATCAGATCGGACGGAACTCTAACTAATACAACTTTTGATTCGTGTTTCGATGAAACAAACCCTCTCGACAACAAATCCGCCGCATTGTCTTCCGATCTCACTCGCTTTTGTCTTATACAACAATTTCTGCGGATCATCTCGTCCTGGATTTTCATCCACTCCCTGTTGACCCACCTATTCTTCGATTTGCCATTTCTAATAGCTCCTTCCGTGACTGTGTTGTCAGTCAGGCACAAGATCTCTCTACCTTCGACCGACATTAACGAAGTGACCATTAACAAGCCGAGGCGGACCGCCACCGTCTCGGCCCACGCAATGTCTCGCACTGAGCCGTCTTTCTCTAGTGAGTCGCGGTCCCACCCGTCTCTCAGCCTAAATCTTGCCCAATGCTTACCTACAATTATGCCTATCCCGTAGCTTGTCGATGCGTCACCCACCCAACCAATGTTTGCCACCTCCGGCCATGGTATCATTCGTCTAGGGTCTGCCGTCCTCAGGACTCGTCGCCAAATCGCCATGTCTTCGAAAACCTCCTCTGGTATCTCACGTGTTGCAAACCGGTGAACCCACTCAGACATCCACCGATAGAGGGCCATGCAGTGGCATTGGAGTTGAGGATAGACCAGCGACGCATGCATGAGCCGGCCGACCATCTTCTCAGTCTCCTTGTAAGTTGCCTTTCCCTCTTTCACGAACTCCTCAATTTGGTCTAGCCTGGTCTTCAACTTTTCTTTGGGGATTCTAACTGTCTTCTCTTTACCGTCCCAAATCAGGCCTAAATACCTTTGCTCGTGTTTGAATTCACTCCACTTTTTCTCATTTGTGACCACCCCCATCTGTTCACTCGCGTCGGCAACGTCTTTCATCGTGGCTGAGTTTGAGCCGTCGTCGCTCTTGATGAAAAGGGTGTCATCTACCCACCTGAAGCCGGCATCGAAACCGAATTTGGACAGCATTATCAACTTCCATGCGTCGGCTGCTTGCCCGAAAGTGCCGCACCCGGCTACCCCCCCAAACGTCACCCTCGTGTCCAGTAGGACATTCCCGTCGAGGTCGAGGACCATTAGGTATGGCCATTGGGACTGTTTTGTGGGGATTTGACGGTAGGCTTTCGCCCAGTCGAAAATGCCTAGCAACAGCGTTCCTTTACTGTTTATCATGAATCTCGCCACCCTCGCAAAGTCGTCCCACGACGTTTTGAAGTCGTCTTTGTCCACTAAGGCGTTTACCGAGTTGATGTAAGTGTCTCGTCTCGGAAATGAAAGGTCGTTAATAGGCCTCACGGAACCATCTCCATTGACTACCGCTCCCAATGGATTAGTTCGAAAGAACCCGAGCTTTCGGAACACCTCTTCCTTTGAGAAGGGGCCAAACATCCTCCCGCTTTCCAGTTCTCGTGCTAAGTTCTCTCTGACTTCTGTCTCTGCCTCCTTTACTGACTCGTGGTTCTTTGGGCAGAAATACCGTCTACCATGGATCGGCTCTTCGGGTATTCCCTGGTCGAAGCCATGTTTGAAGCCTTCCAGGACGAACGCGTGCGTCTCTAGCAAATCTGCGTGTTTCAACTCTCTCCTCCACAAGTCAAGTCGCATCTCGCATGTTACTCCTGTAGGCCATCTCTTTCGATTTATTTTTATCTCGAGACTTTTTACTCGCTGTTCCTTGGGTCTCTGGGGCAAGAGCGACTCATGGGTTGGTAGGGAATGGTAGGAGGGAATTGGGGAGTGGCTACAGGAGGGTCAGAATCATCATGTCAGGAACCGGCAAGGAACTCTCAAGGTTAACTCATAGTCGTCTAATTCGTGTGTTTCATTTCAAATTTGCTTCACACCTCAGACAGGACTGCCACACTTGTGGGCTTGGACAGTATACTCACTAGTGTCTTGGACGACCACCTCTACCGTTAGATCGCCTGTTATCGTAGCGATTTGGACTTCTACTACGGCTTCTGCCTCGCTTCGAGTCTCTTCTATCACTACCTCTACCGCGGTCGTAGTCTCCTGATCTTCTACTGCTTGACTGTTCCTTCTTGTCTATCCACTTCCCCTCGGCCCTCAACTTGGCTTCCCACTGGTCGTTTGGTAGCCACGACTTCTTCTTACCCAGCGAAGATCCCTCTTCCACCCTCATCCCAGTTTTCTTCGATTGACCCGCGAATGGCCTCACTTTTGGTAAACCGGACTCCGGATCGAGGTGCTCTTTCGTGCCTCCCGGCGCATATGGGTTTGAGCGGATAGCTCTTTCACCGAAATTACTACACACTAATTTTACTTCGTCCAGGATCGTTCGCTGGATCTCTGATACGTTCACTATCTCGCCTCCAACCGTCGTTCTCATGACTCCTTCTCGCACTCGCTTACAGTAGCGGAGTGCCACCATCCAGCCCATCGTGTCTCTCAACTCCACCACTATTTCCTTATGGACCTTCAGGTTTTCAGCTAACGTTATCCAGCCTGCATCATGAATGTATCTCGAGAACAGGGTAAAGCAGTCTAGCCACTGCTCATACTGCATTGTGAGTTCATCCATAGGCGGATCACCACCATACATCCTTAAATTTGAGCCGCCTTTGTTCAACTTTGACTCAGAAGGTGGTTCCGTTCCTTCTCTTGCTTGTTGATCACGGATTAACCAGAGCTTGTCGAAGACGGGTAAAGGGATGTATGCCTTGAAGGTTCGGAGGTAGTGTGCTAACACTGGGCTGAGGGAAGGTAAGGATTTCTCTAACTGTTTGGTCTTGTCTTTTAACATCAATCTTCCATTCTCGATTACATCTCCGTTTGCTAACACCATCCGGCCTCTCCCTGATTCTAGCATAGCTTTCGCTCTGACGGCTTCATCTCCAACGGCTGGTTCAACTGCCGGCGATTGTCTTGCCGTTGCGACCTCTGCTATGGTTGAAGGAGATCGACCCTGTGTGTTGCCGTTATAGTTCCAACCTGAGGCGGGTTCGGCTCTAGACAGCAAGGTTTGTCGATTCCCGTCGACCGGCCGTGGGACTTCTCTGGGTTCCTGTCTGGTGCTCGAGGAGAAGTCAGAAAGGTTCTCTTGAATCAGTCGGTGTGGAGTGATTCGTCTCCCATGCGGTTGGTGAGGCCTGTCCGGAATTGGGGCCTGGTCTCGTACGCTAGGGGCGTAGTTGCTAGCCGGTTCGCTGGCAATCATCTCCGTAAGTTTTGCCAGAAGTGATGCTCCTAGTGTGATGTTCCCCTTCACGTAGGCGTCATCCACCTGAGCTTGTAATAAAAGAATCCGGTCTCCTTGTGCTGTTACAGTCGAACAATCAACACAGCATCGTAAGCAACTGCTAACTCGCATTCTCGAACTTGGACACGCTCTTGGCTATAACCGCCTCGTAGCAACACCGATTAGCAGCTGGTACAGCTTGCCCATGTCACTCGACAGGGTCTCACGTGGACTTAATGTACTGCCACACACATCCTTCTGATGCCACGTCTCTCGTGCTAGTATCTTGACACACCAGGACGTTTGTCGATATGTAGACCGCCTTTCGCTCTAGAACGAGGGTTGTGTGCTCGTGTGTGCAATAACGAGAAGCAGGGGGGGTAGTGCAGCCAAGAAATTGTGTGTGGGACGGTATGTGGGGAAAAAAGAATTCAAACATGGGACTAGGTGAGTGACTTACACAGATTCATATCATCATCTTTCATGCTCTCCTCCTCCTCGGAGGGAGAATCCTCTCGTTTCTCTTTCCCCTTGTTGACCTGGTCGTTTGGTTGCCAGGTACTGTCCTCCGTTTCCGATCTTAGGTCTAGTTCGAGTATTGCAACTCCGTCGAGGTTCTCCTCATCTTCTTCTGCGCTCCCTCTGGGCCGATCCGTTGTTAGTGCTAGGGAGGCTCCTCCTGTCGTCTGCGCTCCTGCCTTCGTCCTCTTAGGGTTCAGAGGCTCCTCTTCTATCGAATCTAGCAGTCCGGTTTGATTGGACCCCGTTGGTGCGTTGGATGGTCCTGCTAGTCCGGATGCCGTGGCGGCCGCGTTCGCTGCTGTTGACATAGCCCGCGTCACTCTCGCCAGATTCTCCTCCGCCCGTGCCAATCTTTCTTCCATTGACTTGTCCATCGTATTCCTCTCGTGTTCCGAAATTTGAATTTACTTGTGGTTTAGAGATTTGTGAAAAAACTTGGAGATTTATTGTAAAAACTTGATGGAATCAATGAGTTGATTTTAGTGATTTAGACAAGATTTGACAAGAAGTCAATTGGACTTAGTTTGATTGATGAGTGATCAATCGAGCGTGAGGGGTTGAGTGAGTTCGTTGGCGGTGAAAATTTCTGCGTAGGAAATTTCACATTCCTTCAGTGTGTGGCCGCCTACCCGAACCACTCAGGGCTACCCTCAGCTCCACTAAGTCCCCCTGGGCTTGCGAACCAAGTCGTGCCTCCAGGGTTCTTCCAAAGATGATTGTTAAAAAGTTGAATTAGTTGATTAATAGTGATTCGGATTTCTTCAGATGAATCTTGGGGTTGAATGAAGTAATTTGAGAAAAGTTGTTGGATTGTTTTGTGGTTGATAAATTTACTTGAAGGGGTACTTGAGGTGAAGCTTGTCAGGCATGCTGTGATGGTGGATGTCCCAAAGTCCAGAAAGCCAGAACGTATTCTGGATTTCTGGCTTCGTGGAAAAGTTGTTCTGGAACCTTCGTGGAAAAGTTCCAGAAGAACTTTGTGTAGTATACAGTAGTTAACGTCTACTTTGTACTACCTTCCGACCAGCCAAATGAAATCTTGTTTTTGAGATCGAAAATGACTACCTCAATGACTACCTTTTAAGTTGATAACTAGACAAGTACATTCAGGAGAGTAAGTGTAATCTATCTATATCTCCTTGGGACCATCTGAGGCATTGATAGATTTTTTTTTCACTAGATGGTCAACATTTGGGCCCAAGCATAAGCTGGGCACTTAAGCCCCTTAGGGCAGGTACATAAGGTCTTAAGCCAAGTACTTAAGGTCTTGAGCCAAGTACTTACGGTCTTAAGCCAAGTACTTACGGTCTTAAGTCAAGTACTTAAGGTCTTAAGTCAAGTACTTAAGGTCTTAAGCTAGGTACTTATAGTCTTAAGTGTCCGTGACAATGTGGACTTACACAGACCGGGGCCAGCTATGTGTCAGTGGTCCTGTGGTAGACCCAACGGGCTTACCAGCAGGGTAGATTGTAGGGAGAAGTGTTTGACCCAGGTGTGATGCAAGCTTTGCATATCTATCACAAGTTGCCTTGGGAAGCTTTTTAATACTCTGATGGTAGTGTATAACATCATTTCTTTGTTAATCTTCAATAACCCAACCATGTTCTCAAACCATATTGGTTTGCCCTCACTTTTAATCTCTCAACCTCCAATGATGTATATTTGGGCTATTGTTCACTTTCAAGAATTCCTACACAATCATGAACCTCATTTTGCAAGTTCACACTCATTCACAAGGTCATTCTAACAAAAGCCAAGACAAAAACAAGTAGAGAAAAAAAATAAAGTAAACAAAAGGAGCAAGAAGAATTTTTAAGGAAATGACAAGAAAAAGAGGAGGAAACAATGTAACAAAGTTACATCACGTATAGCGGGTGTGGAAAGTTTCCAACCACTACTTGACCCTTGTACATGGTTTTTTTTCAAATCCATGCCAAAAAAAATAAAAATCAGAAATGCCTGACAATTGGGCCCGGGGCCAGCCCCGGGGCCGCCCGTAGTCAGGTGTAGCACAGAGTAGACTTTAACTACTGTAATTGTTTTAAATAACAAATTTTGGTCAAGAACGTGATCAGTTCATAAGGAAGTTTCTATGAACTCTTCATCCTTTTACTTTTTTTGCCCTACCTATATCATATACATACATGATTCAAAAAGACAAGCAAAGTGATCAATATAGAGTACAACATACATGTATCCTTGGAACTTGTAGAATCTTCAAATTCTTATGTTGTTTTATATTTCTCATCATTTAACTTGTTTTACTCTCTGCCCCCAAAAAATGGTTCTAATCCTTGATGAGATCTGATTAAATGATCCATCATTGGTAGAAAAGAATAAAAATGTCAATACAAAACCATCAGACATTATGAAGATTTGTGTTGTAATAGATTTGACCACTTATAACATTTGAAACCTAAAAGGACCAAACCATTTATATCTAAATCAAAAGACTCTCCATGTTTTTTCTTTCTTTCTCAATCAACTTATATACTTCAACCTTTAATTATTCATTTACTTTTTTGAATTCAAATAATCCTCACTCTATCAATTCAAACATCAACCAAAAATTTCAAAATTCTTTTCCTTATCTTTACAAACCAAATTCAAAAAATAAATTGATAATTTCCTAACCAAATCAAACCAAATCAAAAAAATATACTATATACTACCAAATGAAAGAAAAGTTTGAATATTTGAGGTTTATGAAATCTAAGATATACGATGATTTTTTGAAAATTGATGATGAATGTTTTTTTTTCTAAAGGTGTATTGTATAGATTATATGATCAAAGTAATCAAATCAAATCTAAGAAATCTCAAACCTAATCTAACTAAAGAAAAGATATCCATTTATTTAATTTCTGCTTTTTCCTCCAAAGGATCGAAAAAGAACCATTCTTTAGGTTTACAAATATCAATCTTCTTAAAAAGGATGACCAAAACCCTAATCAAAGCCTTCATAAGATCCTTGACTTTTCTTCTTCGGTACTCAAACCTAATTTTAAGCTTTTTTCTTCTTCTTTTTCTTTGGACTTTGATTTGATGAATCATCAATCCCTGACCTTTTAAGTTGATTAGATCTAGAATCAACCAGCATAGTTTTTCTACCTAAACTACCATTCACAGAAGAACTTCCATCATCTTTAGATTTCGATTTTTTCTTTCGATGACTAGAAGAAGTCACCGAAGGAGGATTCCTTCTAGTTTGGTGATCATCTTGGTTTTCAATGTTCATGGTGGTTATCGAATCTACTGTTGGTAAATCATCTTCGTCTGATGAGTTTGATGAATTAGATGCTTGGCTTGGGGAAATCGGTCGGCTTGGTCTGGTGGATTGGTATCCATTTGCAGGTACTGAGAACGGGTCTGAGAGTAATGAACCAGTAACTGAAATCATATCGTTTGTAATCGTAAGACTAAATTCAAGAAACATAATCATATTGGTGAACGGTTTGGTTTTGGAATTGGATGAAATTTCAAAAACATACCTAATAGCAGTAAAGCTCATGACTCCAGCTTCACCACCCACCACGACTCCATTCGAATCAACCCAACAACCACGTTCATGAATCTCAAGATCATCACCATCATTCTCATACCCCGATTGATTAGCTTGATGAAGATTTGTGGTTTGATCTTTTCCATTAAATTTCCAACTAGAAGGAATCTCCACATTAGGATCATATCTGTACCCAGCACCTAACATATGGTTTGCAGGAATGAATGCATTAAAGGTTTGGTATAAGATTAAAGAAAGATGTGAAGGAGATGACATCGTGGGTTTTCCGATCAATCGATCACCAATCTTGGGTCTCCAACCTAACAAATTCAATTTAACTTTAATGATCGACCAACCTGATCCGACGATTGTTTGAAATGGTAAGTTTTGATTAAGATTATTTGAGGTTTGAGTGTATTCTTTTCCATTTTGATCTTTAAAGATAAACATAGGTGGTGAAAGATAAGATAATAAAACACAACCTAAGTTTGGAATATATTTCATTAAGAGAGTAGATAAGATTTGATTGACTGCTTCGACGGCTCCACCTGAATTATCTATTCGATTTGAAAAATCTTTTGTAGGTTCTAATTGGATTGAGATTTCTTCTTCTTCTTCTTCTTTTTCAGTCTTTGTTTCTTCATGTTTTGGTTTGTAATTTCTAATTCTAGTTGGTCTTGGTAAGAAAACAGGTGCTAATGGTAAACTGAATTTAGCTTTGAGATGATGAAAGTCAGATGGAATGACTGATGATAAATCTTGATTTGACATGTTCTTGAATCGAATTCCAGTCTTCGTGGTTGGTTGGTTGGTTGGTTGATGGCTAAACAGCACCGGGTCAAAATTTTCAGAAAACTTAAATTACACAACTCAGTCTGATATGTAACTGATTACATGTGCGGTATATGTAACCAGACCTAACAATAACATCATTCTGACGTCGGACTGGATCTGCTTCCAACTATTATCCAGCAAGATATCTCGATTCCCAATACAAACCAATCCGAAGAACATTCCCTCAAAGATTGTCACCATCAGCTCAGCTTGGAAATCTCCGAAAAGTTAATCAAACTTGATCAAAGACAAAGATAAACAAAATGATCACCAATTCAATCAACTTTATCAAAACTGGTAAGAAAGTAAATCGGTTCCAACCATCAATCAATCCATCATCCAACCATAAACCAAAAGCTAATCTGTTTTATTCGATTGAAATTAGATCATCGGAATCGGAAGGTATGACCATTTCCTCGCCAATCCAGTAAAATCAGCATCCATGCATTCAAATTGATTCGACCGTACAACCATCAATCCGAAAAACGCACAAAAGAAATTATCTGGATCATGTTAAAGAACTAAACAACAAAGTAAATCATCCCAAGCTCTACTTCTCAAACCAAATCCTACAAACACATGTGATACGAAATCCAAAAAGATTGACATCATTTCCATACTTTTTTAAATTAGGTACCAAGCCATCCCTTCTATTTCTTAAAACCTACCACAAGTTATCTTCAAAACGGCCAACCTATCCAAATTCCTAAAGGCATCTTATGTCATCACGAAGGTAGGTCATCATTACCCAATCTGAAACCTAAACAAGAATAATTAAACTTCATGTAAAACCAAAACCAAAATTTGTTATGTTTTGATAGTTGAATTAGGAGTCATTATCGGTTCGAGAACTCGTTCGATTCAAGCAAAAGATGTTATGAAATCCATTTCAGGGTATACCTTAGGAATCGATTTGACGGCAAGAAATTTACAAGAAGAAGTTAAAAAGAAATCGTTACCTTGGAGTGTAGTTAAAGGATTTGATACGTTTGTTAATTTCTTATATATCTTCTTCTTTAGGTTTCGATCTTGATCTGCAATGTTTTAAATTGTTTTTGGTTTTGGTTTTGGTTTTGGTTTTGGTTTTGGTGGGATGAATAGGTTTTGTCCGGTTGGAAAGTTTATTCCTTCGAATGAAATTAAAGATCCACATGATTTGAACTTATGGTTAAAAGTTAATGGTCAAGTAAAACAATCAGGTAAAGAAAACTTTATATTCCAACCTATCCAAAAAAACGGATCACCATCTAAATTAGATTTAAGTTGATTTATAAAGTTTGGAAATCGGTTTTGGGGATCTGTCTTGTAGGTTCAACCAACCAAATGATTTTCAAAATCCCAGAATTGATTGAGTACTGTAGTAGTATCATGACATTAGAAGAAGGAGATTTGATCTTAACAGGTATTTCTTCCCATCCATCCGATTTTTTTTTTACCTTCATTAAACCGCTTGAGCAAAATTTCAGACATTCTTTTTTGTTTCGGTCATGCTTTTTCTTTAGGTACACCAGCAGGAGTTGGACCGATTCAACCTGGTGATCTTTTAGAAGCAGGATTAGTTCAATCTGATCAATTAATTGATGAATTGAAACATCAAGTCACTCAAAGAGCTGATGGATTTATCTATGAACCGAAAGACTGAATCAAATTCATTCAAAAACGATGGGATCACAATATAGACACCTCCCCCATTTTGGTCCACACACGGTCGCCCACTTACAGGCCTAAGTGGTTTTAACAGACTTTGGCCTTGTTTTTATAAAACCTGCCATGTGTGGGATACATCCATTTTGGTTAATCCTTAGAAGATTCAAATCTCTCATGATGATTGTTCATATTCTTGCAATCAAAAAAATTAAAACTTGGAATGATTTACATGAAAGATGTAGCAAGAGAAAATTTGTAATGATAAGATTTTGGTTTTCAATTGATTGATTGTATCGATTGTAAATAACTTTGAGATCATGATCATTGAGCTAGAATATGTAGCTTAGTCATCATGTTTTCTAAGCAAAATTAATTCCATTCGAAACCAACTTCAAGACTTTATTTAAAACTAAGATTTCTAGACAATTTTTTCTCTAGGCAAATGATCAGATCAAGATCCAAGTTTTCAATCTTTTTACGAGTCAAATAAAAATAAATCACCCACCGTGAAACTGATCCTTTGTTAAATCAGTTTATTTTTTTGGTGGATCTGATGGCCGCCTTCAACGTTAGAGGCTTGATGTCATATTAAAGCTTGTATTTTACAAAAGCTCTTATATACCTTTTTGCTATGTCTTCTTGCTGTCCTTTACGATGATGGTCTTTCCCGCTCAGCATTCTTCGTCAGTGCCTAATGGACCTTCACTCTACAAATTTGATGCATTGCACACATCGCAACTTCAAGGGCGCGAACGCGGCCGCGCAAGGGGCCTCGTTGAAGCACATCGCGCGTTCCATAAAAAGCTTACAGTAGACTTGAATCTTTTTGAAGCCACTTAGGGTCTGTAATGGGATAGACTGGGATCCAAAAGATAATTCGAGGTTCTGAAAATTATCTTTTGGATTCAGTCATCATGAGTAAATTTAAGTAGTAGATCATTTTTTTGTTTTAAATTTACCTGATTTATAGATATCAAATTAGATTTCTTATTCATTAAATCAAATCATTCGAATCTTCTTGAAATCTTTTCAGTAAGTCTTGCTTTTTTTATTGGAGCTTAGATATCATGTTTTGATAATTTGACTATTGTAACCCACACAACCATTCCATTCAAAGAAATTTTTACCAATTTTTGTCCGCACAAAGAAAGGAAGAGGTAATTAGGGAGAAATTTGTGATGAGGTTTTTTGAATTGGTTCATCGAAGAAATGTAAAGTGTTGATCAGTTCTTTCACAATTTTATGTGACTTTGACGCGTAAAGTTGAACAAAGTTTTGAAAGTTTTGTTCAAGTTTTTTTCGATTCAATCATTAAGGTTTGTAAGATTATCTGATGCATTGGAAAGATGTTGAGTTCTGAGCCAGAGTTGGAAAAAACGGCTTCAGGATGAATAACCGGTATGAGTTCATGAAGCTTAGGATGAAGAAAATCCTGAAGAAGTGATGAATTTGATGAGGTTTTCTTATAACTAAGCATCTTTGGGCGTGTTTGCTGATGAACATCTAAAATGAACTCTTCAACTTTGCTTAGTTTGGGATGAATCTTAGCTGAGTCAAGAAATAAGTTTGTAACCTCATCGAATCGATTCGAAAAAGAAAGAAATTCTATAAATTCCTCATATTGATCCTTCATCCAAGTTTTTCCTCAATTTGGATCAACTCTTTCGAAAAGTTCAAGATTTCTAGTGATATTTTTGAAAACATGAATTCTTGTCAACTTTCACACTTGATCACTTCTCTTTATATCACATCTTCTTTCATGATTGCTTTCCTTTCTGCTCTACCTACGATTTGGTTTATTTTTCACCATCAATCTTCAATTGGTTCATTAGGTATCTGGGTCACTTTATCTAATTTGATTCATGCTGTAAGTTTTCTTAAAAATATTTTTTCTAGATTCACTTTTTAAACTTATGACTTCTTTTTTTTACTTTGATAGATCAATTCAACTGTTTGGAGGAAAGATGTGATTAATCGTGCTCCAATCTGGTGTGATTTAAGTTCTAAAGTAAGTCTTTCATCATTTATCACTTCACACCATGTTCCCTTCAAGTTCTAATCAAAATGAATTGTACGTTTCGAAAAAAAAAAGATCATCTTAATCTATTCAACAGGTTCGATTTGTTCATGTTTATGTATGGCAAGATTCTTAGCATACGCAATGTCACCAAACCCAATCAACTTAAATCATCAAACTAAAAAACTTATCAATTTAAGAAATTGGTTCTTCTCTTTAGGTTTTCCAATCTTTTTAATCCCTTTTAGTTATCTTTATTCTCCTTTTAGATTTAGTTTAGTTAGTTCGATTGGTTGTGAAACTTCTTATCAAATCACTTGGCCTACTTTCTTTTTCTTTATTATTTGGAGTCCTATCTTTTCTACTATTGCCTCTATCTATACTTGTAAGTTTGATGTCTTCTTTAACCTTTTCCTTTTTTTTCCTTTTTCTTCAGAAACATAAACTTACTCTTAACTTATCTTGTTTGATTATTTTTTTAGCTTATGTTGCTGTAAGGCTTTGGAAAACAAGAAAAGTCTCCAATGATAATCCCAAGAATCATGGCTCAAAAGTTCCATTAAGAAGATTAGCATGGCTCTGTTTGATGTATACTATTGTTGCATTTCCTTTATCAATTTATTACGCTTATCTTTTAGTCTTCAGAGGAACTTATGTTCCGTATCAAATTCACGCCTTTGAAAGTACAGTTAAGTTTCAAGTTCTTCTTTCGTGATATAATCCCATTGATTTTTTGACTCGAGCAATTCAACTGACTACCTTTTTTTTCGAATCCTTTAGTCTGGTGAAATTCAGTATATCAGTAATAAACGATACCCTGATTTTAATGACTCATTATCTATCATTGGTGGTTTAGTCTTTGTTGGATTCTTTACATTTTCAAAAGAAATGAAAGTAGTTTATAAAAGAATGTTTGACATTATGATTGAACATTTTCTATTTATCTCAGAAAGATTTCAAGATTGGATGAAAGATTTAAGAAATAGAATTATATTCAAATCTGGTTCGATTTCAGATGATTTAGAATTATCTATACTTTCAAAAAGGTATGTATGCATCTAAACCTCTTTCACTCTTTTAATGTCTTTTCTATTCTATTAGACAAAATGCTTATCTTTGTATTCTTTTGTTTTTGGGAACCTTTAGACATGGATCAATTCAAATTTCTTCAATTACTTCAATTAGAACAGATTCAATTGAAGAAAGTATACTAGTTTCAAATGATGAAGAAGATCATAATAAACCTACTTTTTTTAAAGCTTTTCGTGAACTTCATCATCAAATCAATTAAGAAATATATTGAGTTTTGAAAATTGGTTTTTTTTTGTTTTCGGTTTTGTCTTTCTTTTTTTTTTCGGACGAAAATTTGTTTTACGCGTTTACGAAGCTTTGTCATGTTTTGTTTATAATCTTTGGATTGAGAAAAATTGACTGAAAAGTTGCTGTGAGAATTATTTAATGAAAGAAATCAAGGTTCATATTTCGAGAGGTATTTGAAAGAAATTCATCAATGTGAGGCTAACTTAAGACAAGTCCATTCTCACAGGGCTCTTCGAGCCTTCGCGAGCTCGCAGACACCCAAGCTCGCGCGGATCGAGTGTTTGACTGAGGGATTTGGTTAAGTTAGAACGTGAGGCCATCGTCATTGTAAGTTAACCTCGTATGATCTTCATGCTGAGCTTCAAATCAATCCGGGACTGTTGGATATGAATTCATCCAGTTACTAATCGATTTCAAATAAATCCTTAAATCGTCGTTAATTTCCAAGGTGAAGGTTTTGACCAATTAAGAGAACATTACAAATACAAAGATAACCCAGTGATTTGATTTTTCAAACTTTTCTTGAGAAAACGGTCATCAAACTTGGGCGAAATCAAACCACCTTCAACTGTCTTTCATATGATATATAAAGGATATATATATATCTTTCTATCTCATCCTGCAAACACCTATTCAGAATCACATGCATTGAATTTTGATCTTCTTCCTTTCATTTCTTTTATTAAAACCTTTATATGTGATTTACTTCTGCTTCTTCCTCTTCTTCACTTTCTTTCCGGACTATCCCTCAATTTTTTGCTTCTTTGAACTCTCACACAAAGTATCCTATCAATGTCTTCATCAGTTTCAGATATCAATCGTTTGATAAACCCATCACCAGAGAATGATCCGTTTTTAGCTTTAATGATTGATACTGTAAGTTCATTCGATTTGGCTTTCTCATAAACAACTCATATCTAATCTTGATTTTAATTAATTAATTCCTTCTTCTTTGATAATTTAGAGAAAAATAATAAATCCATCATTTCCACAATGGGCTTTGAATTGTTTAATAACTTTTACAATCATGAGAATTTTATTAATCTTAAGTTGTTTGATTATAATCATTACTCCATTTTTTAGAGGTCCGATTAGTAGAAAGAAAAATTTATTTTTGTTCAACAAAATTTATTCACAATCAGGTTTGAATTTTCGAAACATTTCTTTCATTTTATCAATTCTTGTTTTTTGTTTCCTGACTTTTTTTTGGTTTGGGTTCGTTTGGTTTTTTGGCAGGAAATGGAATTCCTTACTTCGTTCCGAATAGATGTTTGATCATTTCAGTTTGTGAATTATTTTCAAGTGTGTTATACGTATTTTCAGCTGTAGGAAACTATAGAGTGCGCCATGTTTTCTCTACATTACAAATTCTCATCAAATCAGATTAGATTACTGTATTGATTCTCACTTACTGTTGGGTATCTTAGCTTTATTCAGGAAGTGAACCTGTTCATGGTCCTATTGGGTATATTTGCACTTGGTAAATTGAGAACGCTAATCCAACTTACACTCTTGAACTTTTACTTATCCTTGATGTTTTTTACTTTGTTAGGTTTGGTCTAGAGTGAGATAGAACTTTGTCTCTTCATCTCTTCAGAATCATACCATCATACTCACCATTATTTCAATCATCTTCCTTTTCCTCATTTCTAAATGTTGAATTCAATCAATTTATCACAAAGATGGCTCCCGTTGGTTTCTTTCTATATCTATTACTTCCTAGACAAATGAATATTAACCTTTTACATCAATTTTTTAGTGCTTTTCTTGGAATATGGCTCTCATCTTGGAGTTTAGTCCATGCATGGTATGTTTCTATGCCACGATCAGTCTTTCGATTAAACCATTCACTGATCAATTAAAAATTCCTTCTTTTTCCTTCAATCAATTTCATTTCAATTAACCTTTCAGCCTTTGTGATGTAAAAGGTGATAATCAAAATCAAAGGTTTTCTAAACTTTTAACTCCATTACTTTACAATTCGATTTGGTTAACCGTCTCATTAGTAGTGATTATGTTAACTACTTACTGGGCACTGCGTACCACTCAAATCTTGATCATCATTTCACCTGTTAAAGAACATTTATTTGATTTATTACAAACTTCAATTAAATCTTGGAGTATCAATCATGATTTAAAACAAATACCAACTGTTGAATTATTTAGTGAAGGAGATTTTTTACATCAATATCTTGAGAAATTATCTCCAATCATTGTTGCTTGGGCTCAAACTTGGTTAGCATTTGCCATCGTCTTAACAGCTGTGAGTCAAATTTCCTCATCATCAAGAATGCTTTTACTTCAGAATATCATTATCTCACACTTAATTAATTGAATGCATTTTTTTTCTTTTGATAGTTTTACCTTTTCATCGTTTCTGTTTTATTACGTATGTTAAGACAAGTTCTACATATACGTGATTCAGAAGCTATGAGTATACAAGCACAGTCTTCAATTTGGAAAGAATTAGAAGACGAGTTTTGTAAGTCTATTTATCACTCAATCAATCTCCAAGGCAGCTTATTTTTCAAGCTCTCTGATAATATATCATTGGGATTTTGATTTCAATTGTTTGTTTTTCTTTCATAAAGGGTTTCTTTCAAGATCTTCTGTGATTGTTGCTTTATCATTAGGAACTCAAATCTTAGTCATGGTATTTCAATCAATAAGTTCTACACATCCACAAGAGTGAGTTTAGATTTGTTCAGTTATCCAAGCCCAACAATATTCAAGTTAATATCCTCTCTGATCTTTGTATTTTTTCATCTTAGTATTGACTGGAGAATGGGATCAGCTATAGTTTGTCAAATACCAGGAGTGTTTATGGTCCCAGCACAACTTTTACAATCAGTAAGAGTCAATTTTCATCTTACTCTCTATAAAGAATTCTTTCAAACTTACATATAATTATTATTTTTTGGTTGAAATTAGCGTCGAATCCTTTTTGAAAAGATTGCAATAGATGATTCAAAATTTAATACGGTCCCATTAGATTTCCAAACCAATCCGATTCCAAAATTAACTTCACAATTATTAGGTTGGGATACAACAATTTGTAGGGCTAAAGAACCTAGTATGGATTCACTTAATTTTCCTGGTTTACTTGAAATCAAATCAGATCCAATTAATGATGATAAGGAGATCTCAAATCTTGAAAGTGTGGAATCAACTTGTACTTCAGATTTCAAAGATCCAGTAGAAATTGAGATTAAAGTGGTTAGATCAACTACTACGGTCACTCAAGAATGATGTACATAAAATGTGATACTTTTCCCTTTCTTGTATTTAGTTACATTTTGTGGTAAATACTTTTTTTCCATTTATCTGAATAAACTTGTAGTTTATTCCTTCTGTTCATATCTGAGTCTTAGATAGACGTTTTTCTTCCATCTCTTTTCGTATATCTTGTATCTATCTTGTATGATGTTTTATATTTTGAACTGTAGAATCTTATAAACAAACGTTGTACACTCATTCAAAACACCCAGTCATTTTTATTCAGCAAAATGCAAAAAAGCCTTTTATAAAATGATCTGTTAGAATCAAGTGGTTGATATCTAGGCATAAAAAGATATTTTGGAAAGAACCATCAGAGAAGAATTTTCATCAAGAATGAGTTTGGAGGATTGATCTTGGTTGTTTTTCTTGCTCACATTGCTTTGAGCTCATGCCCAGGTCCATCAAGGGAAAAGACTGATCCCAGATGACCTGTTGATTTGATTCTTGTGTCCACATTTTGAGTTGAGTGATCAGTACGATAAAACAGAACTGAAAGACTAGGTGACCCATATCAAGTTAGCCATTCCCAAAAACAAAAGATGCATACGTCAAAATCAAGCTTCTTGATCAAATCTTGATAAATGAGCTTCAACCATTTGGAACTTCATCATATCTCATTTTGAAAGCTTCATGTGACCGTTTCTAATCTTTCAATCCTTTGTTACAAAGACTCATGACCATGTATGTACTGTACAAGGGTTTCATCAGAGTGATCATCAAAGCAGTTGTTGTTCTCGACAGCCCTAACTTCTTCATATTTGACAGAAATCCAAATGAATCGTGTTACATGATGCACTGCATTCAAAATTTAAACAAATGCTATGTTCTTGTAACTACGAAAACCTCAACAAACTTATACATCAGATCAGAGAAAAAACCAAAAACTGAACAAAAAATCATAGAAAGATGTATCATGAAGTTATAAAACAAAAGTCCTTAGGAACTCAAAACAAAGCAGTAAAAAGAGATATCAAAAATGGCTTAAAAAGTGGTATCAACGAAATTTGGAATACAAGATGAATAAACTACAAAAGGAAGAAGAAAGATCCAGTTCAGTGACTCGATAGATCAAATTCAGTATAGAAAAAGACTGACATAAGCAGGACGAGCACGGTGATAATGACTCCGGTGATGATACGTTGACGATACATACTGTAAAAAGGATATCAGATCGAAAGGAGACAAGGTCAGCCAAACCATTTGAATCTGAAATTTCGACATAGATCGTGAGCAAGAAGTGCTAAGAGCTCGGGAAGAGACTCGGGATGAATGATGTAGAGAAGATTGAAAAAAGATTGACTGACGTCCTGATCATCTGGTTAAGAGTGTTACTGGCTTTATCGATATGACCATCGGCTTCTCTCAACTAAAACGAAGATGGAAAAGATGAAATTGTAAACGTCAAGATAACTCCGAGATCTCAGTGGATATAAATCCTAAGAATCTACTCACAGTATCTCGAGTCCCTTCAATTTGTTCACGTTGACTTCTTAAATCTCTCAAGATTCCAGTTCCAAGATCTTCAGTTTCTAAAGCGATTCGATGACTTGAATCTAATCGATTCGAACTAGATTCTAAAAGATAATTTGATTTTAATAATCTTTCACGTTGTGCTTGAGATTGTGAGAAATCGGTTTGATCATCATCAAAATTTGAAGTGCCAGGACCAGATCCAACTAAGTTTGAACTTGCTTGTGCTTGTTTCTTCGAACCAAATAATCATCAGCCTCTTGAAAGATGAAAAAGTCATGAGATGGGAATGAAGCACATACGGTTTGAGATTTGAAGGCTGTGAGCTCATTCCGGAATGACTTTAGTTTAGCATTGATGCTCGGTTTTAGTGCTCGGTCGAGTGTTTGGACTTCCACTTCCATTTGAGATACCTAATTTCGTTTCAAAATCAGATATGCACCTTTGTAAATCATCGCGGTTTTGGTCACTAACGATTTCTTCTGCCTCTTCTGTATCTCGTTCGACTCGTCTTAAAACCGCTTTTCGTTGTTCTGATAAGAAACCCAAACCACAAAAACAATCAAACACATTTCAGGAAGAAGAACGTCTGAAGGGTTTGATGTATCTTGAGGGACTTTGGAATGGAAGCGTACCACCAACAAGGTTCTTAGCTTCAACATTGAGAGCATTTCGAATGCTGATGACTAAATCGTTAAATTCTTGTTCGTATGAGTTGAATAATTCAAGACCTGGTATGGTGTCCATGTTGAATGAGTTTTCTTAGTTCTTGATAAGAGTATTTCTGATTGGTTTGTGAGGGTAGAGTTGAAGTGTAGTTGAGAGTTGAAGTGGTTCGACTGAAACTGAACTTGAAAGTGAACTTGAGGGGATTGAAACTCAGTAAAAGGCTATTCACTTCATGTAAAAGCATATTACACTTCATCAAGCGGCGCCGACTGCTGCGGTCAATCTGCTGCACAGTCGACCTTATTTATGATTACACCACGGAGTGGTCCGGCCCATCTGCAGACGGGGACGGAGGCCGTCTGCAGACGGGCCTTTTTTTATATAGTCACGGACCGTCTGCAGGTAGGCGCTGGTCCCACCGTATGCAGACGGCCTTTCAAATACCACCTGCAGCCTGCCTGCGAGTCGACTGCAGACGAGATGCAACGGGCAGACTACAGGCAGTATTTGAAAGGCCGTCTGCATACGGTCTCAAAATGGAGTGAGGAGGGTCAAAAAACCGTCTGAGACGTTTTCATGACCACTCGTAGACAGGGTGACGACTCAGAAAAGGGCCAATGAGGTGGCTCACGGGCGTGAAACTCTTGTTTTAATTTGTATCATGCCATTCAAATGATCCAAATACATTGACATCAACGAAATCTTGATCAAAAGATACAAAAAAGAGATGAAATGATACAAAATTGAAATATAGTGTAATGATAAAACTTATGTATAATGAAAGATTGGAAGATAAAGTCATTATTTTTTGTTCATTGGCTTCTTGCTTGGATTTTTGTTTGCCTTTTTATTTGGTCTGTGTGATTGTAAATTAGGTATCTCAGCCTGGACTTCGTCGTCTGAGGGCAGCTTGAATGATCGTTCAGCTATTGGGATGTCATCATACATCACTGATCCACTGTCGAATTTCTTGCGGTCTTGTTGATAGATCAGATTATAAAAGCTAATGTAATTTCGTAAATTAATAATCTTCATTAAATCTGATTTACTACTAAGACAATATAAAAAAAAACTCACCAAGTTGTATATGGGCGCCCTTTTGAAAGTAAGTAGCTCAATTGATTGTCTACTACTATCCATATCGTGGAAGTAGCTTTATCTGGAAAGTATAGTCGCAGGCATTCACGCCGCTGTAAGTTAAAGATGAAAGATGTGAGTGTCATAACAACTTAAGCCTACAAATAAAAAACTTACAAGATAGGCGAAACGGGTGCGCGATAGCATGTCAGTGTCTTTCCAGATGTCACCTTCTAATTTTGACTTGATTTCCTCCTTACCGAGTTGAATGATCTGAAATTGAATGAAGTCAGTGTTTTCTTTCTTGTGTTTATAATGATACAAATATCCTGACCAAGCCAACAAGAGTTTGAAGGTCTGGTATTGATCTGGTACATTCCTGACAGCCACGATCAGGTTTAATACCTGTCAATAGCTGTCCAAGGTCATTGATTTCAAAACAAATGAGCAACATTCAATTCGATGAAAGATGGAAAGGATGAGGAAAATCACTCACTACAGTGTGTAAGTTTTCTCGGGCATGCTTTGCCTTTTCCTTGATCATAGTTACCAAAGTCTGAGTGGTGGCTGTGAGAGTAAGTCCATTAGGCTTCGGTGGAAGTTGTTTGTTACACCACGGAAGCCCTTGTTGAAAGAGTGACTTCTGTATTGGGAAAAAAGATATAATCAGTAAAATTTTGCAAAGAAAGCTTCAGAACTCACCTTGATCTTTCTAAAAAGAGAGTTCTCAATGGTTGTCTTGTTCGGCTTCCTGACAAGAGCGGTGTAAGCTTCGATATTTGATTTGATTACATGTTGACAGGCAAATTGATAGGTTAATTTCTGTTTGATGGAAATAAAACGAAAAAGTCAGTGGATAAGATTGCAACAGTTTAAGAGTGTGTAATAAATGAGAAAAACTTTCCTTGAGTGGCTCGTTGGGTTTCCAAGGCAAACTCAAGTTTGAGCCAGACACACGATGAGAATGAGAAGTTGCTGAGTCAGTTGGTACCTCACCAGAGGTCAACTGTTCTTGAACCTTTTCAATAACCTCGTTTGAAATCTCATCTTTGATTGAGTCGATTCGATCCAAGAGTTCGTTACGGATACTGATTTGACCATCAAGGATATCTTGATGTAATTTGGAGAGAAACAAGCCATTATGGATCGCATGTTGATTTGTATCACCAATCTGTATATTGGAAGAAATCAATCATCAAAACCTATAATCAAATCGATAAAAAAGAACTCACATATGACAAAGCTCTTGCCATGTCAATGTGGCTTTGATCGATTCCAGGCATGCTATCAGCTGCCTGGGTGAATGCGCTGGCTGATTGATCACGTTGATGTGATCTCGAAATGTCATTCTCATCATCATTATCTTCAAAAGTCTTTTCAATGTATTCTAAGTCTTCATTATTTTCAATGTATTCTAAGTCTTCTTCGTTTTCATCTTCTTCGTTTTCATCTTCTTCGTTTACATCTTCTTCATTTTCATCTTCTTCGTTTTCATTCTTGTTTTTGACTTCATTGTTTTCATCATCACAATACAAAAGCGATTGAGATCTAGATCGAGATTCTGTTTGAGATCGAGATCGTTTTTGAGGTTTGCTGATAGGATTTGATTTGAATTTGATAGTGTCTTTTGAATGGATGTTGTCGAGGGCTGCTGTGTGAGAAATCAAAGGCTTGTTGATGGTTTCAAGGGACCTTTGGGTCAGGCTAGGATCAGATTGCAAAGCGGTTTTGGTTGATTTCGAAGCGGTTTTGGTTGATTTCGAAGGGTTTTCAGTTAATTGGGAAGGGTTTTCAGTTAATTGGGAAGGTTTTTGGGTTAATTGGGAAGATGTTCTTGTGTTTGGCGTTTTGTGATGAGGAGGCATGTTGAATCAAAGTGGAAGAGTTTGGGAAAACAGCTCCAGAAATCGTGAATTCTGAGAGCATCCACTATCGTCTCTGTAAATGGCCTTGGTACGGTAAATTTTGCTGAAATTTACCATACCGAGCCTCAAAATCCCCAATCGTGTCCAACATACAGATCTGTACCTACAGAATCACTCGAAAATCGGTAGAGGTCAAGCAAATTTGCTGGACCTCTACCGAATCGGTATCTGCAAAAGCACTGGACTTTTACCGAGCCGCACACCACACCATCACTCCCAAAATTCAAAGTCCGACTACACTTCACTTTTTATGCTCTCGATCCGCATACACACACCAAACTTCTCATTCTGACTCTCAACATGAGCATTGGAGAACCTCTTTCCTTGCATACCTATCATATCTTGTTACTGCTCATCATCAGTTCTATGAAGTCCCCCTGTTTTCAAATCATGTGTTTTCAAGTCTTTCTGTCAAATCGTTTGTTTTCAAATCGATTGCTTTCCAATCGATCATTTTCCAATCTTGAGGTTTTTTCAATCAATTGTTCTCAAATTGACAATTCTCCAATCGATTATTTTGGAGCAATCACTATGAAAACGATGCTTTTGAAACTCAACCCATACTGAGCAACAACTATGTAAATGTCAAAACTCGATGTTTTGAGTTGAGATTTGCAGACTGTTCACAGAGCACACGATAGTGGAACAGAGTCCATTCTGTACAGTACGTACTGTACAGAATATATATACTGCAACGATAGTGGAATTGTGCGTTTCTGTACGTACGGACTAGGGGTATGACCCGGCCCTGAAGTGTCAGGGCCGGCCCCGGGGCCGATTCAGGCCCGGCCTCGGCCACGCAATACTCAAGGATGCTGCCGGGCAGCACCGGGCAGGCCCTGGCTCGGACCATCCCCTTGAAAGCGTGTTTGAGAGCTCGGGAAGGATGCTTGATGACGTCAATTTTTCCAAAAGATTGCCTCCATAAAGATTTTTTGCGACGGCCCCGGCCCCGAGTAGCCCTGTACCGGGGCCTTTTTTGCTATTCCCAGGCTGGACTTGAGGCCCCGGGCTCGGCCTCGACCTCACCTAGAAAACGCTCGGGCACACTCGGCCGGTCAGGGCCAGGGCCGGGTCATAGCCCTAGTACGGACACTGTACTTTACAGACACGTACAGTAAATTTACTGAAAATTTACTGCAACGATAGTGGATGCTCTGAAGCTGTTTTATTTGCCCCGGTCGAGGCCATTTGGAAGCCCTCCTCATGGCCTTGACTTGACCCGGCCATACTCAACTTATGATATGATCACTTGAGTTTGAAAGGCACTCCACTTGAGATCAAACATCAGATCACATGTGATGTTCTTCATTCACAATGATATGATGATAAAAAAAAGACTTCAGGAAATAACATTGCAAAAGAAGACAAATAAGCCAGTCAATTGAGATCAAAACTGCCTTGCTTTGATCAATACATTTTTGTGAAAATTGGTAAAAAGCACCCAACCAAGACTGCTTTTGCGCCTATGTGGTTTTTGGTGCTATCCTAAAGGCACATGTTTGAAGTTTCAGCTTTGCCAACATCCTATCACAACTAAAAAGTCATCAAGGCACGACGAAGCAACCCTGATAGCCAAGACTACGGTGATGTAATGTCCCACATTTGGAAGCCATCTCCAGTTATCTCTGCCCACAACAGGGTTTGAACCTACAACCAGTACCAGTAGTGGGCAGACGAGCTGACCAGCTAACCACTAGGTTATAAACTGTTGAAGTGCAGAAGCATTGCAAAAAGTCTTGTTCAGAAGTAAAGTTACAACAGCCAGCATCTTTGGCTTGGGGCAAAAATCCGAGGCGTCCTCAGATTTTGGTAAATAACAAATGATTCTACACCGCCAACTCATGCATGATCAATTTTTTTAAGATTGTCAGTTGGTTTAAGTTGTGGTTTTTTTCTTCCTGCTTTTGGCGGGTGGAGCGGGAGCAGATTTCCAAACTTCCAAGCCCTTCTGAATGGCCTCTTTCCACTGTTCCGGAGTCACCTGTGAGATGGTAAGTGCGGACGCCTTTCGATGGGCTTTGGCTGAGTATAACGCACCTGCATTGATGATATAAGAATTGAGTTGATTATGATTGATATAGTAGTTTGATTGTGAAACCAGGATTCTCTCGACTCTTTTCTGGTGGCTATCAGTCACCGAACATGAAGCCTCGTGGCAGTTGTGTTGTACGTTGAGAATACAATCAATATCCTGGATAGTGTATAAAGACGGAGAAATATCAGCTGCGTGTATTGAAGACTAAATGAAAAAGAGCTTACCGCTGCTTTGATCCATACCAGATCTTCTTTAATGACAATTTCTCTCATTCCGTAGAATGGGATAACTCGATTTCGGCTGCACTTTTTGACCAAGAATAAACTTTTCGAAGCCGCTTGGTTTTCCGGTTTCCAAATCGATTGAACTCGGCCAATATTTAGACTATTCTTGATCTATATTTTAATCTCAGTTCAGATCATAAAGCTGTACATCTTCAATAGTCTATGGAAGAACGTACCAGGACAAAGTCACTCTGTTCAACTTTTTGTTTGTTGAGTAAAGTCAGACTTTCAATTTCTTGCCACAAGTGTTTGGTTTGTAAGTTTGATAAATAAGATGGAATAGAAGCGGTGGAGTTGTGTTGCACTTTATCTGATTACAGATTGTTATGTCAGTCCGGGTAAAGAAATCCATTGATTTAGAATATGAGATATAGACTCACTACCAGCAATGAAATCTAAACGGTGATTCAAGGTTACATCCCGCCCCAGTGCGTGTTGAACCTCAGAGTGATCGGGAAATATTGAATTCAACGCCGTTCCCGCAGTGACCAACTCATCAAGATCTCGATCATAAAACGGGCTTCTTGATGTCAAAGTTTTCAATAGTTCCCAGTTGTTGAAAGTATTGGCTATATCATTTCCAGGACTTTGATGATTAGAATGAATTGAAGCATATTGTAGAACTCCATTGAAAGATTCGAATTTTTGGGTTGCAAATAAAGGTGCGGCTCCAAGACGTTGAATTGATCCAGGTAAGTGCGTCAGCATGTGAAATTTTGGTTTGTTCACCCATTGTGCGGTAATTCTGATCAATTTATGTAGAAAAATATCGATATGAGATTGTAATTCGTCAAGATACGAGGCCATATTGGTGATTTTTGCTTGAAATACGTAAGACGAAAGAAGGCAAAGTGATGTCCAAAGATGTTGTTTTTGCGGAGAAAGATGGCCGAACAAGACAAAAGGAACAGTCTGTAAAACAGTCTGAAATTCTTTACCCACAAGACTTTGAGAATACTGGATCAATGTGTTAGGTTGGATCGGAGGGATATTGAGACCTTTAGTGTTGAAAGCATTCCAGCGTGCTGAGAATTCGTTATATTTTGCGGAACCAGGCTTCATCGCACCTAACTCTTTCATTGTATCACCAAACAGGTATTTTGCAATTCCAAGTAAAACCACATGAAGGATCTCAACTGGGGTATCAGCATGACCGTCAAAACCTGTCCGTCCAATTGAATTTTAGTGTGGTTATCAAAAATATTGAAGAATGAATGAAAATTGTACTTACCTTTGAGACGAAGCATCGGATTAAAAAGGTGATCTCCAAGTTCTTCATCGAGTTTCCGGCATATTTCCTCAACCTCATGACAAGGTTTTGATTGATAAGCTACTTGAACTTGTTTTATGAAATGATCACATGTTGAATCACGAATACCAAACTTCCGACCCATCTGTTCCACAGTCGTCTTTGAGTTTGGCTTTTGCGCAGCTTTCCAGATCTGAACAGTTCTTGACCGTGTCTCATCCCAGTCACGCTTGGGAGAAACACTCTGCAAACATCAAATCAAAGACACAAAAATCAGATTCAATTATTCACAAATAAGATCTGAGCCCACTCACATGTTCAAAATTTGAATCCAGTCCAACAAATTGACATATAAATTCTACTGTCTTCTTTTCTACCATGGTATCAACTTGAAGCGGACAAATTCGACATGGTGTGAGAGTGATTGCTGGGTTCGTAGTATTACAGATTTCCGCATGCATAGGCGAGTCTCCTAGATGACAAAGAACTACAACCATAGCTATCACCTCCTTCCCGGATGCGTAGTCAAAGGCGTCAAATCCGACTTCACTAAGATGGCTATAAATCACAAAGTCAGCTTTTGAATTTTACAAATCACTTAGAGAACTTACTTCAATTCATCCACCACATTATCAAAAAGTTCGAGTGCACTTGCCCTATTTGAAGCCGCTAAAAAATGAATATTATATTCTTGATTTGTCATTTCCGGCGGTAAACCCGACAAAGTGAAAAATAAGCTCATATGTTTATTCCATTTCTTTGATACATTTCCGGACGTATCATCGGAGTATAAAGTAAGTGGAATATGTTTGATTATCTTCCCATTGGCTTTAGATCGCCAAGGGTTGATTAAGGGCAGGGTAATAAAGTTTTCGCCTTTGGACTCTGTCAATGTGAAAAGACTGTGTTAGCAAAAAGGATCTAAATCAATGATAAACGTATTATACTGACGTATGAATTTATCTTTAAGAAAATCTTTTAGTAAACCTAATCCTTCTATCACGATCTTATCAGAGCGTTTTGATAATAAACTTATGTCAATGGTGTGTAATAAAGGTGAATCAAAATCAGGCTCCTCGGGAATATGAACTGCAACCTCATTGAAATTATTGTCTCGAGGAATTATCTTGGCTTGAAGACATTTAGCAAAGAGTTTTCCGTCTTGTTGAAAGAAGTGAGTTGGAACCACCAAATGCGCAGATTCTAGCTGATAAATTTCATAGATGTAAATATGACCAATCGGAGATTCAACCATTTGAGCTCGAATTTCCCGGTTGAATTCTTTAAGCCACTTGGATGATTGGGAGAGACGTGTGATTGGAATACTAGTGCCAGTGGTCTGTTCGGGTATGGTGACAATATGCGGGCTGATAAACGGGTTTGCCAAATCCTGAAAAGAATGATATTCTTGAATTAGTTTGTAATGAATTTACAAATGATTATAAAAGAAACTCACTCGTCTGATTATATCTTCAATTTTAAGTCCAAAGAGCGGAGTACCCAACGGACTTCGGCGCTGAACAACTGATAAACCAAATCTTTCTTTCAAACATTTTTTCAAGGCTCGAAGCACCCCCCATTCGGGGAGGTAGACAGAGCAAATTTTCAAAATTGAACAAATGCGGTGATACTGTGACCGGGGGACAATAGGTTTCGTGTTGTTCCAATGATAAGAATTGCAATGAAATGCTGGAATGAAAAGCGGAAAAAAATTAGATAGAAAAACTAATAGTTTTTGGAGAAAGAAATTAAGTTCACTTACCTCTTTCTTTTTGAAAGGAAACCAACCTTTACCCTCTTCTTTCTTTGCATTGGCTAGCTCAGCATCAAGCATTGCTTCATAATCAGTGTCATCATCATCTCCGTCCAAGTCTTCTTTATCCAACATCTCAAGCGCTTGAAATAATAACTGTCTTTGTTCAGTTTCGGACCCAGAGTTTGAGGAATCGTCATCATCGGACAGGATCGGTCCTAAAAGGTCTAAAACGTCTAAAATTGAATCACCAAGCTGATCTGATTTGTCATCCGTGTCCATAGCATCTTCAGGCCATTGGTTGTTTGAAGAAGACAGAGCTGGTGCACGTGAAAGTGGAGCAAGTAGTTCTTCATTATCATCCTCTTCGGCTACTAATCTCTCAACATTTCTTTTATGTGGTAAAGAATTGGAATGCCGTTCATAATTGACTATATTTCGGCTGCGACATGCATTACACTTGTAGAGTGGTACAGCTGGATTTGTGGATATTGATTCAAAAACTACAATATGGATTCATAATCAGTGATGGGTTGATGGAAATGAGAAAGTTCAAATAACTTACAACGTGGTAGCTGCTGATTATTTCCAGCCATTGCTTTACAACAAATAACCAGCTTTATCAACAAATTCCAAATTCTATGAATAAATTACTCTCTTCTTGGATGATGTATTTTATTCTATCTTATCTTGAATCTCACATTAACTTATTGAGTCTTTGATTTTCAGTTTTTCAAATGTAACAATCTTTGATTCTGATTTATCTTTTTCCAATTTTGAAAATACACTTTTTCTTTTATTCAGGAAATATAATTTGATATAGAATATTAATACTATTGTAATATAAGTCTTTATTAAATTTGACACTACAATCTATCTAACCCTTCTTCAGATTATATAATTTGATTTGAAAGATTGTAATATAAGATTAATATTTATCAAAAGAAACAGCCCATTAAAGTTAGCAAAGCTTTTGATGCTTTAACAAACAAAGAAGGAAGAAAGAACTGACAAGATTCCTCTATTTGTTAGCCAAAAACAAACTGATGTTTGATTTGGAACTATTGATGAATCCAATTGTTAGATAATAAACAATTGATTAATGCAATTGTATTGATTTGACGTCGAAATCGATGTTGATTGTTGAATTCCGCGGCCGTGCGATCGAAAACAGAAGTGGTAATATCGATTTGTGGTGGCGGATTTGGTTAAAGCCGGACCGGCGATCAAATCGCCAGCTCGACTGATGCTCGCCTGCGGGCGGAATCAAGGCGGTTTCAAGGCGGACGGCAGCCACCTAACAGACGCTCGCCTTTTGCAAATTAACTACGCAGACCGGCTGCAGTCCGACTACCAGCGGTACTCAATCGGACTGTAGCCGGTATGTAGCCCGCTCTCACCGACCATTTTCAGGCCTTTTACCGGCCATTTTCAGGCGATTCTCCGGCCATTTCACGACCCCGACGACGCTCAGACTCCACCGACGATATTTCTGCTCAGAAACCACTCCGTGGTGTAGATGGAGGTTCTGATGAATTTGATCAAATCAAGTGAGGAACAAATATTTACAACTTGAAGCTTTCCTTCTCAGATACTATGGAGATTGCCACAAGGTCAATATCCAGTTTATCTGAAGTTTGACTTGACCTTCTTTGGTACACCACGGAGTGGTCCGGCCCATCTGCAGACTGGGACGGAGGCCGTCTGCAGACGGGCCTTTTTTTATATAGTCACAGACCGTCTGCAGGTAGGCGCTGGTCCCACCGTATGCAGACGGCCTTTCAAATACCACCTGCAGCCTGCCTGCGAGTCGACTGCAGACGAGATGCAGAGGGTCAATCACTGGTCTGGGTCCTGGGTTCTGCTCCACACCAATTCTCAATAATAGACCAGTGAGACAACTGCTAGCCTTGAAATTTGGCTAGCAGGCAGCTAATTCAAAGAATCAAAATAATATCTATTTATCAATGCATTAAAGATTTTCTCAGACATAGGAAGTTGATAACAATGAGTATATCATAAGAAGATACAAGTTTTTTTCTATTGAAACTAAATAAATGTGTTGAATCATAACTTGAACATCAATCTTTGGTTGAAAAAAGAGAACAATCAGGGTTTTGATTCTGCTTCAAAAATTTCCAGTTAAAATATAATTTTCTAATCGATTCTTTGTGGGTTTGATTTGTAGTCGATTTAATATCAATAGATTGGAGAAATGAATCTATCATTGTAGAAATGGTATCAATTTCTGTTACTGATTGAGTTCCACCAGCTCTGGTTATAATTGTTCAAAAAAATAACAAAGTCAGTGATTTGAACCAGTTTTCCTCGATTTAATGAAAAGCAATTGACCACTTTTTAAAATCACCCGATTCTTAATTTATGATTTTTGGTCGAATAGATTGAATTTGAGGTTATCGTTACCCATGAAGGTCAATGAGACAGATACAAAATCTGATTTAATCGGCACACTTACCTCATTAAGCTCAAAGATTACTAATCGATCACCTTTATCACCTGTAGCAAGATAATTCCTTGTGTGATCGACATCAACAGTTGAGATGATATCCACGATCAATATCAACAGCTGAGATGATATCTGATTTGATGATATCTTCGACTTCCGTTTTCTCGGCTTTATGATTGAATAGATTGGTAATTAGCAAGATCGATCAAGAGTAGATGATCAAAAAGCATTCAGGATAAGATTGAAAGACAAACCAAAAAAATGAGCAAATCTCCAACCAGATGAGTAACTATCTAAATCTGTTCCCGGAGCTGTAGCTATTGATGAAAAAGAAGATATCAAAGTAGTGATGATAAGAAAAAAGATGATGAATATCAGTCAAAAGCATGTTTTGTCAAAAGTCTGAATGATTGTGAGATCTCAAAGGGATGTTTTCAGATGATAAGTTTTCTTGAATGATTTGAATGAAGTTGGGATTTGATTTGTTTGATGAGATTGTTTTGATTTGATTTGATGATGATGATATAGTTATATGAAGTTGATGATGATGAGTTGAGATGGATTCGATGAAGTTGAAGTTATTGAGAATGGTTTTGAGGAATTGATCGGTGGTTGTTTGGTTTGTTGAGTGATGTCATGATTTCAAGTTGAGGTTAAGTTCGGTTAAAGCTTTCTTAAATTTGACCTTATGAAAAAATTTATTAAAAGGAAGAATAGTCTGGCAGACGTCTGACAGGCGCCTGCCAGCCTTTTTTCAGACTTGATCACGCACACCGGCTGCAGTCCGACTATGTACGGTACTCAATCGGATTGCAGCCGGTATGTAGCCTGCTCTCACCAACCATTTTCAGGCCTGTGAAAGGCCACTTTCAGGCCATTTCCCGGCCATTTCACGACCCCGACGACGCTCAGACCTCACCGACGCTTTTTCTGCTCAAGAACCACTCCGTGGTGTAGTTGACAAGGATTTGATCTCAAAGATCCTCTTCAACTCGAGCATCCGTCATCGTAAGAATGGTCGAATTTTTAAATAAAACAATCACAATTCTAACAAATCACCTGGTAGTTTTCTACAATCTGAACAGATGGTCCTGCGACATGCTCTTCCGATTGATCTCTCTTTAGGTCACTTTACCATCCACACATCTTGCAGCGTACGCTCATGATTTTTTGTGAGCATATCAAACAAACCAATTGAGGTAAGGCGGATCATCAGATTTCCATGATTTGTGACTGTGATGCTATGCATGCTTGAAAATCTTTGTCGAGGTCACGAGGCTACCCGGTCAACTTTTATTTGGTTCGGCGACGTTGGACACAGCCAGTTTCACAATATGCCCATGTGTATGTACAGCCGCTTCAAGATACCCGTTTGCTCAGACACAGTGTATTGTACGATTTTTTGAATTCATCCCATCGGCCACAGTCTTGACGTTAAAGGATCTATTGGCGTGGACAAAAGTGAAAGGAATTTCTGATCCACTTGCTCTCGAAGCTTCCTTCTGAGAGGAAGGGAAGGGAAGCTCGTGAATTGAATTCACGGGGTGTGTTTTACGCTTAGGTAGCAAAACACCTCTCCATCACACTAGGATGGTAGTGCCCATGCAAGACTTGCCTTAAGGAAATCCTTAAGGTGAGGCTTGCTGGCTGCGGGTGAAAACCCTAGCGCCTCGGCAACCTCCGCAGGTAAAACTCTTTGCTTTGATTTCATCAAACGCAAATTGGTTTCCCTGGTAAGAAGGAGGATGCCCAGTCAGACGTCTGACTGTAGGAGGCGGGACAGAGAGAGGGGAGAGAGCTCATCAGACCCGAGGGTGGGAGGGAGAGCTTTCAGCGAATAGAGGGGTCTGAAAAAGCAAACGGAGCGCTGAGAGAGAGAAAAAGAGGCGAGAAAGCAAAGGATGAGAATCTCCACTAGAAGAGACAAGAAGCGCTTACGGTCTTCTTTCCAAGATGGGAAGAGGAACGGAAGACGAGAGATCTTACCTAGATATCTCTTCCAAAGCGTGGTCTCTAGTGAGATTATCTCATCCTTAGGTGGTGCCTGGAATGACGTCAGTGCCTGAAGCTGGTCTTAGCAGGTCAGAGCACAGGAAGTCGTCCTGTGTCCGTCATCAGGGCTGCTAGAGGCTCTTCTAAATCTAGCTAGGTTTCTCTCTCAAGCTCCTGGCTCGTGGACGGATGTTATTCCTCGTTCCTCCTCAAAACAGAGCATCCACTTGCTCTTGAAGCTTCCTTTTGAGAGGAAGGGAAGGGAAGCTCGTGAATTGAATTCACGGGGTGTGTTTTACGCTTAGGTAGCAAAACACCTCTCCATCACACTAGGATGGTAGTGCCCATGCAAGACTTGCCTTAAGGAAATCCTTAAGGTGAGGCTTGCTGGCTGCGGGTGAAAACCCTAGCGCCTCGGCAACCTCCGCAGGTAAAACTCTTTGCTTTGATTTCATCAAACGCAAATTGGTTTCCCTGGTAAGAAGGAGGATGCCCAGTCAGACGTCTGACTGTAGGAGGCGGGACAGAGAGAGGGGAGAGAGCTCATCAGACCCATCTTCAGGGGATAAGTTCTCGAGCTGAGATCCTGAACAGGAGCTCTCACCCCACTCTCGGGCACGTTCCACTGGCGCTACATCTTCCAAGAAGGCCAGCATTCGATTAAGAGATCAATAAGATGCCTAGTACACTTGGAAAAATCGTTAAAGGCTAATACAACTCAGTGCGCAACTTCCTAGCAAACGCTTTCGTTTCTCTCGCTAAGGAAGGTGAATAACCATGAACATAAAGCTTATAAGCAGAAGACTTCCATCTTACCGTAGCCTTCAATCTTCTCGTACTATCACCCCAATGCGCTCGCAAAGACGCACCGCCGATTTGCAAGCTATGGCCGGTCCACACTTCGTCACATTTCCTACCCTCCGCTCTCAATACAACCGAGACTGCCGATCGACTGATAGGTATATGATACTGCTTGCTTGGAAACAGGGGATCGTTAGGACCTCCTGGAAAGACAGCCAGGAGGAAAGCGAGTGCTTTGATAGGATCTAAGATGTTGGGTTGTGATCGTAGAGTAAGGTATTGAACTTCCCCTACGCCAGCAGTTTTACACAACCTCATCGCTATCGTCGCCTTACT